TCTGGCGGGGTGGGGACAAGGACAGCGCCTCGGAGGGACTGAGCCGGGCCTGCTGGTTCCAACGCGCTCCAGAGGCATCGAGTACCAGCCACGACGAAGCTTCTGCCAGTCCTCGGCAGCGCTGCTGGCCGGCCTGTCCCTGCCGCCGGGCTCGTTACCTGGGCTCACCCCGCTGCCGGGACAGTCCGTTCCACGCGGGAAGAGCTGCTTGAGGTTGAGGATCAACCCCCAGCCTCCCCACACCTGCAATGCCGTCTGCACAGCACAGCCCCAGCCACCTCCAGCACCTGCCACCAGCACCTCTTGCCCCTCTGTCCCCTCTCATGCCTGTGACAGGGCTGGGAGGGGGTTGCTGTGGTGGGACACATGGAGCACATTGTGCCACAGCACGTCACGCTATGCCATGCCATGCCCTCCTTTCCCATCTGCAGCTGGGGCCAGTCCTCAGCGTTCCCAGCACCTTGCACAGGGTCATGGTCTGCAAACCATGCAGTGACAGGCACTGGGGTCTGTGAAACAGGGTCCCCTTGATCAGAAAGCTCACCAAAGAGCTGACCTGGCCACACCTGAGGTGTGCTGGTGGGAATCTCCTCCACAGCCCTCCTCATGGAGGCATCTCTGTCCAGACCAGGAGAGCCCCTGGCATCCCCACGGGTTAGCTTTCATCAGAGATACAGTGGAGGCCATGCCTTGTCTCCATTGGTCAGAGTCTGCCCATGTCCTGGTGTACACAGCCAGGATTCAGTCGTGCTCTGACTCGCCCAACCAGCTCAAAGCACAGAAGCCAGTCGGTTGGTTTTTCCCCAAGCCAGTGGCAGACCTGTGCCCCATGGAAAGATGGGGGTATGCAGGGCTGCAAACCCACCCCAGGGCAGCACAGTCCAGCCCACCAGCCCCTCATCACTGCCAGTCCCCTGGGGAGAGTCCAGCCTCCCCTGCAGCCAAGCTGGGCCAGGCTGGGTTAGGCTGGGCTGTCCTGGGCTGTGCCTGGCTCAGCCTGGTTCTAGTTGGTGCCAGCACCTCCACCAAGGCAAACCAGACAAGATGCTGACCAAGAAGGAGGTCTCAGATCTTCTTGGGTAGATCCCTGCTAAGCTCAGCTGAAACCTCCTTGCTTGACAGCAGTGCAGGATAAAGACACAGTGATAACAACTTGCCCTTCCTGGGAAAGAGGAGCCAGCCACAGCCATCCCAGGACTGATGTCCAATGCCTACCCATGCATTTGCCCCAAGTAGGGGAAAAGGTCCCTGGTTGCTGACTCCAAATGTGCTCCCCCACGGGAGCTCCCTGAACTTTGCTCAGGGAGCAGCCAATTGCCAGCTCAGGGGTCAGGAAACATTTTTTTTCCCTGAGCAGATTTGCTTTTTTTTCCTGTTTTTTCTTCCACCTTCCTCTGCAGCACTGAGCACAGCCCCTGGCCAGGGCTCTTCAGGGCCACTTCTGGGCAGAGCTCCCTGCTGTTGCAGAACCAGGAGTCCAGCTGTGTCCTCTATCCCTCTGCCCCTTTTCCCTGCGTCAGGTTGGCCAGGGAACCTCAAGGAACTCCATGATGAGGTCAGCTGGGGGTCTTTGCCTTGTGCAGAACATGGCCTCTTTGAAAGGCTGCTGGTGCACTGACCTGTCAGGAAGCAGCTGTGACTTGCCCCCCACCATGCATGTAACCAAAGCAGTGTTGGTCTCCTCTGCCAGTACTGCTGTTTCTGCTCTCAGTCATCACACTCAGCTGAGGACCTGGTCTCTCACAGGTAGTGCATTGTCACTAACTGTGATGAAATAGGAGTGAAATAGGAACTATCCCTTCTCACAGCTTTGAGTAATCAGAGGAGTGGTGTGTGATAGAAATTAGGAAGACCAGGCTATAACTCTGCCTTACATCTCTGTGCCTCAGTGCCCTGCAGTGCTCGTGGAACTCCTCCTGGCTTCTTGTTTGGGCTTTCCAAGAAAAAATTGCTGGCTCTGCTTTGCCCATGTTGTGGATCCAAAACAGACTGATGGAAATAAGTCCTTGTCCCTGCCTCCCTGGAGAACCTCTGGAAATAGTCAGCTCCAGAGGGTGTAAGTTTACAGGATGACTGTGCATGTGGCCTCAGTCCAGAGGCCTGAGAGCTTGTGAAGCTGCCCTGGCCCTCCAAGTTGACTGACATGAACACCAGGATGAATTAAAGCAGCGTTGGAGGTGCTGTGAGTATTTAAAATAAAAGCAAGCCACCTTCAGATTATTACTTGTGGTTTCTTTAAGGGTACTTGAATAGCAAGCAAGTTTCTGGAAGTGCAACTGGATTTACTAATTAACTGGGTGGTTTTCTAGGCCAGGTTCACTCCCCCTCCATGGGCTTCCTCTGCTGTTCATGAAACTCTGGTGCCACTGCCTAGTCACCATCCCTGAGAGTGGTACAGAGACAGGATATGATCTCTGGCTGGGGAAAAGGAAGCTCTTAACTCCCAGTCAGTTGGTCACCTTCACTTAGATCCCTTGTGCTGCCTTGTCTCTGGGCCCCCGGGCTCATTCCATGGATTCCTGTTCTGTTCTGCCCTGCTCTGTCACTGCTGACACTCTTCAACACCCTTGGGCACAACTGGCCTCACCCTCCTCCGGATAAACATCTACACCGTCTTCTCTGTAGGGTCCACAGTGCTTGCTCTCCGTAGAAAACGTGGTTCTGTGTGTATCTGCCTTGTTTCTAGGCTGTCCCTACAAATGGGAGCCACGACAACAATTTCACTGGACTGAGCCAGGAGAGGCCCAGGGGCTGGTTGCACCAGACACAGCTCTAGCTAGAAGGAGGAATTCCCTAGGGCTCAAGGAGGGCACCAACTTAATTTTGCTCCTTCCTTTTCCAAAACCAGGGAGACTGGCTTTATCAGATGTGCAGGGTTAAAGGAGGAAACCTAAAGTTTTTAGGCTTGTTCTGCACTTGCTCCCCCTTTGCTGAGCTGGAGGATGGTGTCAGTGTGACACAGATGGCTGCAGTTCAGGGTGATCAGGCTGCAGCCCTGCCAGCAGAACCACCACACGGGGCTGCTGGGCTCCAGGTGGAGCTGGCTGCACCCCTGGCCCCAGCTCTGCACACGCTGGAAGCAATGCAGGCATACATGCTGTGGCCTGTTGGTCTTATTCTTCGTGTTAATGATTCACCCAGCCCAAAACAGCACTTCCTGCTGTGGGCACCCAATCTCCTCATCAACTCTAGGAGCTCACAGTGAGAGCCAAGTATGTTGGAATTCATGCAGGAACTGTCTCTTCTTGTGGTCCCTTCATCTCATTTCTAAAGAGATGAAAGTACCAACACACAGTTTCCCTAGGACACCAAAGAAAAGGAGACTGTGCTTTCCAAAAATGCCCCAACCCTGTGAACTTTTGTCAAGGTTTAATGCTGGGTTGGCAACTAAATGAGTAACATATGTTACTAGCCCCTCTCCCTCCCCAGAGAGGGAGGGGAAAGGAAATAAGGGAGAGACACCTACGGGTTGGTAACTAAACTACACAGCTTTAATGAAACCCTACTGATGAAAAGGAAACTAATGAAATTTATAAAAATCTATACATAAAAAATATATATTTTTTTAAATGAGATCACCATTGCACTCCCTCCCGTAATGCTGATGTCACCACTGAAACTGCAGGGACAACCCTGGGAAAGTCACACACTGAGTTCCTGAATCCTATTTGGAGCTGGATGCAGGAACGCATGGATCTGGATTAAAGGCAGACAGATTAATGGAATCCTCCCAGAATGTCGGCTGTGGATGAAGAGAATTTTACCCTACTGATTCTTCAGCTTCATACCAAGTAGGACATGTATGGGCTAAAATACTGTGTTGGGTCAGTTTGGGTCACCTGTCCAATACACTCTTCCCCACAAGAGGGTCACAGGTATTAACCTTTTTCCTCCCTTTTGTTTCTGGAGCACAAGTTCAGCAGAACCAAGCAGTGGCTTTGGTGCTGCACACCACTCTCCAGCAGTAAGTATAAACACAGAGTGTTAAAAGTCCTAGAAACAGATACTGACTGAAAAAGAAGCTGTTAATTTCAGCAAGTGAAACTACTTAGAAGAGACTTAAGTGAGAAGTAAAAATACTAAAAAAGAAAGCGAGTTCTGTCCTGGCTCCAAACCAGGATGCACTTTCTACTTGCCAGCCTACAGGATTTCTGCCAAACCTCTACACATGGTGACAAGTGGGTCCCTGCT